CCACTTCTTACGTTTTTCTTTTGGGAGATGTATCATTGCTTCACAGCTAAATATTTTAGGATGACTTATATTTGGTTTCTTCTTAGACCATATTTCTTCTGGAGTTTTAAAAGCCAGTGAATGTGTTGGAGATCTATTAATGAGGTAAGCAGCTGTGTGTATTGCACTTGCCCAGTACTGTTTAGGAAGTTTTGCATTAATCAACAGACACTTTGCTTTTTCAACAAGCGTACGATTCATACGTTCGGAGACACCATTTTGTTCTGGTGTATAAGGCACTGTTGTTTGATGGACGATACCAGCTGTTGCTAGGAACACAGAAAAAGCATTGTTTATATATTCAAGTCCATTGTCTGTACGCAAACATTTTATACTGCACTCCAATTGATTTTCAACTTGACATTTAAATTCTTTGAATTTTTCAAGAAATAAACAAACACCTTTTTTGAAAAGTCATCTATAAATGTGATGAAGTATTTTGCACCACCAATGGAAGTGGTTTCCATTGGTCCACATATATCTGAATGTACAGTTTCAAGTAGATGTGTAGCTCTTGAATGACTCGTCTTGAATGGAAGGCGTGTTTGTTTTCCTTCTAAACAAGTCACACAGGCCAGATTGTCTTCTTTCTTAGATAATTGCACACCATTTGTATTTTCTTCAATTTTCTTTAAATCACTGAAATTGAGATGCCCCATGCGCTGGTGCCAGAGATAAATATCTTGCTTATCAACATCAGATATGTATGCTTGAATATTGTACAGATTTAGCCGGTACATATTGTTGATTAAGATAGCTGTTGCAACTATTTTCTTACGACTGTTAATAATTACACAGCCTTCATTATTAAATTTCACTGCACCACCATGATTTACAATCTGACTGACTGATAGCAAATTTGTTGCTAACTCAGGCACATATAAAACATTTTGAAGTAAAACTTTGTTACTTCGACCTCTGTCATCACAGATGTCTAAACTCAGCTGACCAGAGCTTTCTACTGGTAAGGATTTGTTATCTGCAACTTTAATTGTCTTCACTGGTGGCACTGTTTCATTATGCAATAATTGTTTGTGTCTGGTCATATGCATTGAGGCACCGGAGTCTATATACCAGGCATCGCTGTTACTGACTGGAGCTATGAATGTAGCGGCATAGCTAGGATTTTCATGTTTCTGTTTTTGCTTAGACTTGCACTCTGTGCTTATATGACCATATCTGTTGCATTTGAAACAACGTGGAATTTTTGAGGTGCCTTTTTAAATACCTTTTTCTTTGAATTTGTTGCAAAGGCATTTGTATCACTATTGCTCATTTTTACATCCTGTAGAATTTTAGCTTTACTGAATCAGCACTTATTTTCATACCAGAACTCTCGATCGCCATGATCATCGGTTTGTATGTCTCAGGTAGACCAGAGAGAAGCAGGGTTCCCAGCCACTCATCATCCACTTTAAATCCGATATTGCGCAACTTATGAGCTGTTGTGACTACTTTACTAACGTATTCTTCTACATTTTGACACTCTGCGAGGGTTGTAGTACATAATTCACTAAGTAAACCTACTCGGCGTGTTAGCCCTGAGTCATCGAAAGCACTTGTCAGGTTGTCCCAAACTTCCTTTGATGTCCTGGCTTCTTGTATGTGAACATAATTCATGGAGTCCACTAACAAGATTATTTTAGATTTTGCTTTAAGATCACGTGTTTGGTTTTTCGGGTCGCCGGTTGGATTTTCTATGCAATCCCATAACTACTCGTGTTCAAGATATGTTTTCACGGCAAATCTCCATGTGGAGTAGTTATCGCAGCCAGTTAGTTTTTCTATCAAGGTCAGCGGGTTATTTGAGGACATTTTCAACACTTGAAAAATTATATACTTTGACTTGTTTACTTTTCTAGGGCTACTGGGCCCATAACCTGTTGAATTATTTTGAATAAGTGGAAGTAGGTTTTTATATGGGAATAAACGTTTATTATAATGAAATTACAATTTTATGTACTCTACTCGTAGTGTCACGGAATAGTGTTATTTATTAATATATAGTAACTATAGCAAACTAACAAACTAGGAAATTACATTAGAAGGCGCTGAATTTAAATTAACATTTCAATAGAAATGTACCAAGAAATTATTAAAGACCGTTACTTCCAAGTTAAAGAAGGTAAAACATTATCCAGTATAAGGGAAGCAAAAGACGGGGTACCACAGGGGGCACCATCATCCCCAGTACTGTACAATAGTTAAAAACAAATCATGGGCATTTGCAAGATACCGAATGGAAGAAATACTAAAAATAGTCAATGGCTATTGCATGAACTGGCGAATAAAGATTAATGAGACGAAGACAAACATATTATTTGGGAAAGGATCTTGTAAAAACAAGAAAATAAAATTCAATTCTAAGACTCTCAAAGTAAAAAGGAAAGCAATCGTATATCTGGGAGTGAAAATAACTACGAAACTGAAGTGGAACCAGCATATAAAAATGAGAACAACTATAGCAAACTTGACAATAAGAAGATTTCACTATATATTAAGACAAGAAAGCAAGCTAACCCTAAAAACGAAGTGAAACATAATAAATGCAATAACAGAGAAGCAGGCCTCATACGCAGAAGAAATCTGGAGCGGCTATCAAGATACAAACCACCAGAAAATGATGGCAATTCAACGAAAAGCTGTGAAGAAGATAACAGGCGCTCCCTATTATATTTCCAGCGAAGATTTAAGGAAAGAGCTAGCTCTGAGTCACCCACTAGAATGAGTCAAAATGAGCAGACAAAAACTTATTAAAAGTTTAAAAAATGGAAGCAACGAGTATAGAAAAGATATTGGACACAAAATGTCCTAAATAACAGACCATTAATACTAATGTTAGTGCAGTCATAAGTACAAAGTACTTGAAACCACAAAAACAGAGATGACCAAAAAAAAAAGTTCTTTGACAATGTCGGGATCTTTCGAGATGATGATCGCTTTGTTACCGTTAACGGTAAGGGTAAGGAAAATGATGGACGGTAGGCTGCGTATGGTATTGTAAAGAAACTTCTGGTTTGAGAACTTGTCCAAAAATTATTTTTGGACCATAGGAAAAATTTTATTAACAAAGTTTTGCGTATATTCCAAATATACAATAAGAAAATTTCATGTCCCAATCAAATTGTGGAAGGAAAGGTAATCGGAAATCAAAGTGTAAGTGCAAATCTAACAAAAATAAATAGAAGAATTAACAAAGGGTGATGTTAGAATGTAAGAGAGGACACCTGAGGCGTGTGCTTCCTTATAGACCGAGGTGGATATAACAATAACTCTAAAGGAGTAATGAAAACCTTTTCTGTTGATCATTTGATGAAAGACGATAGTAATTTTTATCAGTGTATTGCACAAGAGGACTTGATTGTAATAGAAACTACCGAAGGAGAGTGTAGGAATGTTGAATGAAGGTTGAAGAATGCCTTCGTATCAAACCTAAGAAGCAATATGTTATGAATAAGCAGGCTGGTTTTTGAGCAAAGTTTGAAAATCTAAGGGTGAGCATGTCAGTAGCAGAGGTACAAAAAGCATATTCCGTTTACTAAAACATGGCGCAAAAGACCAGGACATACAGCAACCAAGAAATTAGATGAATTAAAAAAGAATGAGCTTATAGATTTTGATTGTTCAAGTACACTGCTGGCCTTTTCTCTTTTGACTGTATTTGTGTAATAATAGATACACCGTACAGCGAACTGTTTTAATTCATCAGTAACTATGCAGTGAACAAAATAGATACAAATCTCATAAATCACTATAAGTACGAAACTAAGTGTGTCTCTTATTTTTTATAGAAGTGGATATAAAAATTAAAATAATTCGGTGCGGACCCCACTAAACGTACGTTTGGTGAACTGCTACTTGTGGGCTCATTAGATACTATTAGACAATGTTATTTTCGATTAAGGATATCGACATTGTAGCGATCTGTATGTTTCTGCATATGTGTTAAAGGAATAGGATTTGCGAACGAGTAGTGTCGTTTAGTGAGAAGGGAAGGGTTGTGACATATCGGGTAGGGTTGGGTCAGGTTCATCGACTGAAAAGATTATTAAGAGAAGACGGTGAGAAGTCATAGTGACAAGGAAGCTAGAGACAGTAAGCAATCTGTCCACTTCATAAATTCACTACATTCAGTTCATCCACAATCTGATTAGATATTTCATAACGACCAAACATCATTTAACGTTTATTACAATTAAATGTGCCAACCCTATAACACTGAATATGCGAAAGCGGAGAAAACTCCAACGATTAATACCTTCTAATGTATTTAAGTTATCAGGTTAAACATTTTATGTTATGTTATTTTTTTTTTTTCATTTATACTTTGATCTATGTATGCATCTTTCTTTTGGTTGAATTAAATGATAAGATAGTTATTGGAAATAAAGATTTTTTATTAGAAAGTTAATGAACCCACGTATGATTACCCTGAGAGCTTGTCGACAAATAGGTTACAATTTGTCAGTCTGGACATAGCTGTCTGCGTGTACCTAATAGAACATATTTGTAGCACGTATACTAGGTGTTATATTAAAGAAAAGTAAGTTTAGTGGTTTCTTGGCTAATGCAGCACCATGTCTATTTATAAATAATGTTAGTTTGCGATTCTCATCAGTAGAAACAAGTTCTATTATAAAAACCAGCTTACTATACCTGACGAATTGTTGTACCCTCCCGTATGTTTTCCAGAACAATTGATAGAACTTCACGATTCTGGGTTTGCAACTTAACAGTTTGCCTGTTGCTTTGATCGTGCGCAAAATTTAATGAGTGGATTATTTCAGGCAATATCTCCAATTCTGAATTTGACCGATTTAGTGAAGTGTTATTAGGTTTTTATTTTTTATTTTATATTTCGCTAGCATGAACTGCATTTTAAGGGTATTTTAATAAAGAAACTAGCACAGCGATTTTTTGAATTTCAAAAAGTCACATTTAATGTTTTACTTTTTAATAAGGACCTACAAAATCCAACACTGTTTCCGGCTCATAACATCCACAAATTACGAAGTATTAGAATTAGTGAAAACCATGAAAATAATACAGTTCATGAAAATATTACTGAAATCAAAAACACGACTGGCGATTATTTAAATAATTTACAAACACCTGACGATCCTTATATGGTACATCTGAAAGTTGGAAACAGGGAGTATATAGGAATAGGATATACAACTCCCGCAGCACGTCATGATGCAGCCATTAAAGCAATAGAGGAAATCAAAAGGATTAATATCGACGGAAATTGTAAGTACAGCTCATTATTTTTTGTATCCGTATATTTAATTTACATTAAGTATAACGCTTATCGTTAGAAATTACCTGAGAAAAATTATTAGATTTAAAAAATATACAAAAATGCCTGGCTGAAAACAAGATCTTTGTTTAATGCTATTGTGCGAATTTAAAATTACTTAACATTTGACATTTAAAATTATTATCAACTAGCTACCTATGTGCCCGCAATTTCGCCCGCTTGGTATTTTTATCATTACTGGTTAGACACGTACCTCCATTGTTTTCTATCTTGAGCTAGCCTTCGCATTTCCCTAAAACTAGTACATCCCACGTCCTTAACTATTTCTCAACAATAATTTTATCTAGGTCTACCTATATTTTTATCAATCTTAATAGGTAGGATCTTAACATATCGATGGCGTCACGACAAAAAGGCATAAGCCACTTCCTCCAATTTTATCAGGAGAAGGTGAAAACTGTTAATTTGTTTTAATAGTATCTTTTTAACTGCTTTCTTTGAAATTCTGAAGTGATCTATGATAAAAAATACCGGTTTGTTCATTAAAAGACAAATTTTACGTAAAATCCATTTCTATTTTAAAATATGTCGCTTACGCCCTTTAAGTACGTCTGTTTGGCGTTTGCGCCCTTTTCTTGGAGATATAAGCCTCTTAAATAGGATGCCTTTGGTTTTGTAATGGCGGTTAGGCCCTCCATAAGCCTTTCACTTTTCTTAGACTACTATCGAGAGCTAATAGTTATAACATATTAATTTTTTTAATTTAAAACACTCATGCAGAATTATAAAAAGAATAAGCGACTCTTTTACTAAGTAATATGAATAGAATAATAATAATGCAAACATGTTTTATTTGAACACACTTCTCTTTAATAAAATTAGAAATTTCTTAAATTGTCATAACTTCAAAAAAATTAACATGAAAGTAAAAGTTGTAAGTTACAAAACTAAAGGAAATGAAATTGTTAAAAAACTAAGTGTAACAAATAAAGTCCAAAGAATAATACAACAAAAAATATGTACCCTTAATAAATTAACGTAAAAATATATTATTTCTTTTTCATTGCCTAATATTCAGCTTAAAAAGCAATGAAAAAGAAAAGGCGTAAGCGACTAATTAAAACTAATATTGGAATAGTGTTTTACAGAAATTAGTTAATCTTTCTAGAAGTGTAAACGCGTTTTTTGATGGTAAACATTACCAACAATGAAATTGCGTATTAATATTCAAGTTTACTACAGAGTCGTTAACAAAAAATAAAATTAAAAATTGCATGAAGTGTCATAGCAAAATGGTACTTACGCCAGCCTAAAATTTAAAATTGAAAAGGCGTAAGCGACAAAAACAAATGTAAGCGTTTTTCTTAGTATCTAAAACTATTTTAAAGTCAAAACTAATTTTGACAGCTTGCTATAACAATAATTAATAAAGAAAAATTGTAATGGAACTTACTTTTTTAAAAATTTTCGACGTCTCGACGACGATGAGCGTAAGGTTAACCTCTCTGTATGAAAGCGTGATGCTTAATGCTGTTTAACCTCGATTTTTCTTAGAATGAAATTGTCGCTTACAAAAATTTTAACTCAATTTATTGACGAAGGAAATTTTTGTCGGTTGCAGCCGTTATATTAGATAATTAGCTGAGTTACTTTACTTAAATTGACATAAAAATCTTGTTTTTCATTTTTTGGCGCTTACGCCTTTTTGTCGTGACGCCATCGATATATATTATACATATATGTCGTCAAAAATTGTTTTACAGACGTTTTTAAGTTTTACTACTTTTGTACAATGAGCGTCATATTTCTTACCGTTGAAGCAGCTTTCGCATGAAACTCATTCGCTCTATCGTTTTTTCGACGATTTACGTTGCAAAATTGACCTCCACAAAAAATCCTTTTATTATAACGGCCTATGCAGCCTATACTCACCCTAAAGATCCATTCTAAATATTGGTGAAAGAATTCTTGAAATCGGATGGATTACTTTCAAGACTTCTGAATCTGTATTTTTTGGAAGTACCACTTCAAGCTCACTCAATGTTTTTTTAAAATGTGGTCTAAGGTAATAGAATTCTACTGGACCCAATAACTACCTGGTTTAAGCGGCTCACATCTGTCCACTACAATCTTGAGGTTCCGAATTATTTTCATTTCTTTATTGGGCCAATATGCTCGTCCTTCTGGTTAAATTAATTTAATATTCCCACGATGCCTAAGACAAGGGTAGATATTGCACAGATGATGGCAGCATGATAAATAGAATTCTCGGTAGGCGTCACGCACGGCGTTCACTTTCACTTGCGTTGGGAATGACGTCACTATGAGTAAGGCGGAAATGATCGTCATACGAATCATTTGTATTGTTCGCATATACCAATATTTATTCGTTCCAGAATAGTTTTTTAATTTTGCTTTTAAGTGACCCTTTCAAAATTATAAATGCTGCCGTTTTTGTTTAAAAAGCCTTAGGAATAGCTACAGTAAATTAACAACCTTACACGAATATGGATGATGAATGGTGAATGTTTATTATACATGGCTTCATTATAAAAGAATGCACTTTTGTTAGCGTTATTTTAATTCTTGAGAAGCGCTGTAAGTACCCTAGAAAGAAAATAAAGCATCTACTGTAAAATTGTACTTGATGAACATTGAATCGTGAAAGTTGAAATCCGGTAGTAAGCGAATAGAATCAATAAGCATGACCGTTTTGTTAGAGGTGCCTTTTGCTCTTCTGGAAAATAAACTTTGAAGCATGTTTCCTCAACTCTGAATTATATTATTAAATAATTGTTTGTTATGAAAATCAAAAACAAGAAGTTGCTTTTACTTACCCATCAGGCTTCTCACAACTAGCACCTGAACATTTTTGTGTGGTTTCCTCAGTACATCTTCTAAGGAATTGTAACAAATCTCAGGTTTGATTTTCATTTTATCATAACTTAATATTACATCTCTCTCCAAATCAGTAAGAATTGTTGCATGAGATTTAAGGAGGTTTAAATTCATCATTATAGTATTAAGAGAGTTGTATAATAATAATAATAAAGATTTATTAAGACAATGGAACTTTACAGCCGATGTTACAGGTTCAATTGTTCAAACAAGAGTGGTATGATATTTCCTTTTTACCAAAGCTGTTTTTTAAAAGTGAGCGGTTNATGGTAATAGTGGGTCATGGTTTCATCAGGGCGTTTATGTCGAGCGACCAATTCTTCCAAAACCGTAGTATAATCTGTATATCGTGGAAATGCTTGATACTATGTGGCCGTGGGTGCACTATCCCACTCCTGAATTATTAAGAGAGTTGAATAATAATAAAGATTTATTAAGACAATGGAACTTTACAGCCGATGTTACAGGTTCAATTGTTCAAACAAGTGAGCGGTTGTAATGAAATTGATATTGAATTATTGTTTATTAAACTGCCGCCGGACTGGCGACGCACATAAACTAAACAGATATCCTTCTAGACTTTATCAGGTTCCCGAGAATTGTTGTTTATTTGAATCGGCCATCCTGCGAATTTCGCGCCCTCGCGAAAGATGGATAACTGGCTTGTTCTCCTTGGCTAATGCAGAGTATGATTAGCGATTTCAGTTCGTTTCTGCAACATAATGTTCCTTACAGTATCAATCTTTTTATTTCATGAGTGATCACAACTTCTGAAAGTATTAATGTTACGCTGTTTCCTTTTTTTTCGTTTTAAACCTTGTTACCAGTGATGTAACCTAGTTACATTTCTTTTACTACCATTCACTACATTTTAACGGCAGTATCCTGCCCTTCCTTCTTTTTTTTTTTTTAATGACCCGGCAGTAACCTGCCCTTTCTACACACATATCCGCATATCCATTGACAACAATCTGCCTCCTTTTTTTTTTCTACTTTTTTTCTTTACATATAGCCTTTGGCAGCAACCTGCCCCTTTTTTTTTAAGCGCAACTTTCGGCAGCAACCTGCCTTTTACTTACAGAAGTCGCGATCTCTCAAAGTACAATTTATACAATGTTTACTGCTACAACTAAAACTACAAGTATTCATCTCATTTCTTTTTGCATGGTTTTTTTTAGTCAGAGTTGTTAGAGCTGTCAGAGTTGTCAGAAACAGCAGGTACACTACAATACCGACGCAAATTATCAGCTGCTACAATTGTCTTAAAATTCTTGTACCCTCGTAACCCCTTGATACTTCTAATTTCATATCTATCATGATGTAATACTTTTACGACAATGTAGGGACCAGAATACTGACAATCAAGTTTCCTGTTTACCCCTCTTTGACTGCACGATATTCCTTGTTTCCATAAAACAATTTCGCCCTTTTTGTACCGATTGGGTACTCTGTGTTTCTTGTCGTACCTCTCTTTCATTTGCATCGCAATCTTTTCCATAGCCCTACTCGCAGCTTTGCGTCTAATTTTAACATTAACTGGCTCACCGTCTGTTTGTGTGGTTTCCATATCGTTTAACAAGTGCCCCTTGTAACCGAACATTAATTCAAAGGCGGTACTTTTGGTGCTTGAATTAATAGTGTTATTTATTCCTCACACTATATCGGCTATCCGCTCATCCCAGTATTTCTCATTATCTATTGAAGGATTTATCCCATTCAAAAAGGTTCTATGGAAACGTTCTACTTGACCGTTTGCCCGGGGTGTACCAACAGCGTTTTTGATGTGCTTAATCTGTTTTTTATGAACGAATTCAGCAAAATGATTACTTGTAAAAGCTATTCCTCTATCCGATGTTATTCTTTTAGGATATCCAAGAAAGATTCCAAACACTTGACGTAATTGTCTAATACATTCTTTCGAACCTACAGTTTTACAGGGGATTGCTACAAAGTATTTGGAAAACGCGTCAATTATACTTATAATATACATATTTCCAGACGAACTTTTTGGAAAAGGTCAAACATGATCAATATGAACGATTTCCATAGGTTTATTGTTTTTATGAATTGGATGCAATTCTCCCTCACTTTTCCCATAATTTCCTTTATTATAAGCGCAATCAATGCACGAAGAAACATATTTTTTTATAAATCGAGTCATTCCCGAAAACCAATAATTTGCCTTTATTAACTCCTTTAGACCCGGATGACCAATTTCGTTGTGGTATTTTATCATTATTTGCTATCTCGCTGATTTAGGCACTACTAGTCTTTCCCTGATCGGTGTTTTTCTGTATAATCGGTTATTTTTTATTGGATATGCTTTTAAATTTTCATTATTGTCAGAATTTGTTTGATCTATGATGCTTTTCAAGGCGTCATCTTGTAATTGGACCGTTAAAAACCAGTCATCTATGTTGGTTATACTTGAAATAAATACGGTTGTTTCTGGATTTCGACTTAATGCGTCAACGTGACTCATTAATTTTCCGGATTGATGACAAATTTCGAAATCAGTCTTGAATTAATAGCCACCATCGGGCGACTTGCGGTAAAAGATCCCTTTTGTTGAACGTATGGCGGACCGCACTGCAGTCTGTTATTATTTTGAAATGTAAACCTGATAAATATATCCGAAAGCGCTTAAGAGATTCGACCACTGCTAAAGATTCAAGTTCGTAGCTATGATAAACTTTTTCTGCGCTGCTTGTCACTGTACTAAAGTAAGCTACGGGTCGTTTATCACCCTTTGTTTGCTTTTGTATTACAATTCCACCTAACCCTTTATTACTGGCGTCGGTGTGAACCTCGGTTCCTAAATTGGGATCATATGACGCTAATAATACTGGTTTGGCTGTTAGTTTGCTTTTTAAAAGGTCGAACGAATTTTGCTGCATTTCGCCCCATTCCCAACGGTTATTCTTTTTTGTTAGATTCGTTAAAGGAGTAGCAATTACTGCAAAATTTTCGACAAATTTTCTAAAATAACCTGCTAGACCCAAAAATTTTGCACGGCATCAATTTTGCGATTACCCGGAGAGATACCTGAAGAAGATATTGTATGTCCTAAGTATTCAATTTTTGATTTTAAAAATGAGCATTTCTGTAGATTAAGTTTGAGGCCAGATTTATCTATTATTTGCAATACTTTCGCTGATACTAGCTGACGGGATAAGAATGTCGTCCATATAAGCAAGAACATTTTCGTGACGTAAACTACTAATAGTCTTGTTTATTAGTCTTTGGAATACCGATGGAGCATTCATTAAGCCTTACGGGATTCTCAAATATTCATAATGCCCCTCTGTTGTGATAAATGCTGTTTTATTTATTGATTCCGAGGCTACGGGGATCTGATGGAATCCCTGACTGCAATCTAGACTGGGGAAGTATTTTTTATTAGCTAAACGGTTTTTAATATTTGGCATCGGAAAAATATCTTTCACCGTATTTTTATTTAACGCTCGCTAGTCTATACAAGTGCGATAATCACCGGTTTTCTTTTTGACTAAATTTACTGGGCTTGCAAAGTGTGACTGTGATTCACGAATTATACCGGCATCATGCATAACTTTTATCTTATTTTGAACTACTTCTCTCTGTTTAAATGACAATCTATAGGGCTTATAACTCCCAACTCTTGTCGTGCTCGCAAAAAAATGTCTCCACTTATTTAATAAAGTACTTAAATTGTTTCGTGCCTCTGACTCTAATGACTTATCAATTTCTACATCAGTTATCTTTATTTCATTAGTGTTGCTTGCATTTTTACAATTACTCACCGATAAAATATTGGCCTTTGCAATTTCTATATCTGAACATGCATTCCCTCGAGCTAACAGCTGTCCCTCCTCAAATACAACGCTTTGGGAACTCATGTTGGAAATCAACACCTGTGATTCTGGTGAACGATGAATACCCGACGGTATGCTGACAATAGACTGGCCCAACTGATACTTTGCTTCATGATACACATTAGTTTCTTTCCCGGCACTGTTTATTTTAACCGTTACCAATTTTCCACTGTCAGCAGGAATTTCAACTTTTTCCGTTAACACTATTTTTGGACGTTCTTCGATTTCGGCTAGGGTAATATTACGTAAGAAATCAGAGAGATCTTCAACAACACTAGCCGTATCTCCTTTTATTACAACCGATAGTTCACTCGAATTTAATACGGGTTAAATAATTCGATATGGTCTGTATTCTGTCGAAACTGCCAGACGCGGATCGCGATTTCGATCTTTTTGGATCTCATCAGCGCGTCACAGGCAGCTCCGACAGAACACAGACCAACTTTTACCTGCTGTCTTAACAGTGCGTTTTAGAAAATACTACAAATGGCGCAGTAAACGCCATCTGTAGCACGATGCTACATTTTAGGATTATGTATACTCCAACAAGGTCCACTTGTGTGGATATCTACTTGCTGAAAACGAATCCCGTTTTTAATACGGGTTGTCCGATAATAATATCAACCTCATCCAAAAATACTTCTGAAATTATGGCAGACGTATAAATCATAATTCCGTCCACCACTAATGAAAATCCTGCTTCCGAATAACACTTAACATAGCGCCCCCAAATCCTCTTAATACAGTGTCACTTTGTTTGGTATTAAGTTTCAATTTCTTGGCAATGGATGTTGTAATAACGTTCACCTCACTTCCAGTGTCTAAAAATCCAATCACTTCAACGCTGTTTATTTTACAGATTTTCTTATAAGTGTGGTTCATCATATGGTTGATTACTGTTTTAACGTTTTTCACATTGTCGCGGTTGTCAATTTTTTTGTTTTGAAGGGACAGTCAACACTGAAATGTCCCTGCTTATTACACGTGAAACACCGTGGACTAAAACGCTGGCAGTTTTTCCACAATTATAGCACCTCACGTCACTAATCAGGCTGAAGTTGTTGTGGTATCTTTGCCCAGAAGCCATTAATGAATCGATTCTTGGTCGTTTCGTAAGAGTACTTGCAGGAGACTTGTAATTGTCCATGGGGGCAATGAATCCGGCGTATAATTCATCGGCCGTTGCACATTGAAATGCTCGTGCGTTTGCTTGCAGTTCCAAAAGGAGTCCTTTGATAATACAAGAGATGGTTGCTTCGTTATCCAATCGACATTGCTGTGCTAGAGCGATTTTTGAATGGTAATAGTGGGTCATGGTTTCATCAGGGCGTTTATGTCGAGCGACCAATTCTTCCAAAACCGTAGTATAATCTGTATATCGTGGAAATGCTTGATACTATGTGGCCGTGGGTGCACTATCCCACTCCTGAATTATTAAGAGAGTTGAATAATAATAATAAAGATTTATTAAGACAAAGGAACTTTACAGCCGATGTTACAGGTTCAATTGTTCAAACAAGAGTGGTATGATATTTCCTTTTTACCAAAGCTGTTTTTTAAAAGTGAGCGGTTGTAATGAAATTTGTTTATTAAACTGCCGCCGGACTGGCTCATAAACTAAACAGGTATCCTTCTAGACTTTATCAGGTTCCCGAGAATTGTTGTTTATTTGAATCGGAAGCTGTTTGATTCGTAACAATAGACTCGTCAGTCCTCAGACAGGTTGGACACGCACCTACACTCTTCTACCTTGAGCTAATCTTCACATTTCTTTAAAGGTGCGTAGTTATTTTTGGTTCTAGTGGCACCTTTTCACCTTGTCTGACACCAACGAATTTTTATTTATGGGGGAATTGGATACACGTAGTCTATTATCACGGTGAATAAAATACGAATTTATGTTACCAATGCTTTTCGTACAATTATAAGTGCCCCCGGTTTATGGAACTAAGCTGACGGTATACAATTTCAATACTTTATGAAGGATACAAATTTCTTTTTCATTTTTTTACAACGATAAAGCGCACTCGGATCTGGTAGCCAAATACATTGTTGAATAGTTATTTTGTTTTATTTTACTTTTTTTTAGTTCTCCTGTGGCGCATCAGATTCATTGCCTACATTAATTGCACCATTTTGATAGTACCTCAGAGCATTTACTGTAACAATAGCCTTAAATCGTTTATATTAAGTTGCAATGAAGCAATTGTATACATATTGTTACCCAGTACCATCATATTAGTTAAATACCTTTCTATTAGCACCCTTCTCCTCTAGCACAGCAGCTTCTTAACGCTAAAACATCATATAATTGACTTGTCACATTTTTCAATCTTTCACCCGTCTTACTCCTATTTGCTTGCAAGCGCTCTCGCTCTCTTATAGCAGTGTCATTTCCCTCTGACAAATCTCCTGCACGCCCCCTATGATATGATAACAATAAATATGCTAGGAGGAAAACCCATTGCTGGCAGATATCGTTTAGCTGAAACCCTACAGATTTTCAGGTAATTGCTCACCCTAATTTGTCGCTTCGTAATTGCGTCAAGTATTTTGCGGTTTTGTCTTCACCTAGTCATTCGACCGAGGAATAGTAATAGCATTCTATACATGCTTAACGCCCTTCTCATTCATAAAATTATTACAAAATTATTCGGTTATTACATGCCTTGGATACTCAAACTTGGCATATGTCTACTTTTATGTTTATATAGTTTTCACTGAGCTCAGAGTTTTTCTAGATATGACCCACGTACCACGTACATTTGGTAAACGCCCTCTAGAAGATTTACGTGTATGGTTTCTAATTATACCGCCCTCTTCTCATGAGAATTGTGAAATCTTTTGCTTCGTTGATGAATGCCTTTTGCATATGCACAATTTAAACAGGCCGCCGTATATTTGTACACAAAACGCCTCATTTTGGTAAACAAATATTATTTTCGAAAGTTCTAGATACTTTTTGAATCCAAAATGCCTAATATCCTCATGATATTTGCGTAGTAAGCAGAACTTGGCAATTGTAGGAACCAACAATCTGTCACCTTTACTTGTTACACCCCACAAACGCCCGCCTTTCACCTTAAATGCTGTTTGCATTACTTATCAGTTGTAACTCCTTCCAACGCTTTAATGATAGACTGCACCTTCTCCTCCTGCAATTGAATTGTTCCAAATCAATCCGCCTCAGAAATAGCCACCAAACTGACTGAGGGCATTCACATGCTGCATTTTATCAACTGGTCTGTATTAATTTCATATTTTTGGATTGCCAGCCATCCCATGGCTATTCTTGCGTCGCCTTCGCTGCAGAAGAGTCAGTCACCACCCAAAAATGAACACTTAATTTTTACACTACTGCCAGACTTTCCCACTCATAGTTGTGGCACTGCCTTTATAGTTGCTCTGCTGAAATAAAAAAATCACCTGCAACTTGCCTGTTGATGGCTTCTGAACCAATAAGTACCTAATCGGAGTTTATCAGCTTCGGTGTGCAACTCAATAGGTAATTTACTGCCATACTGTCCTAATATTGGTTATTGTATAAATGACGCTTTGAGCTTTTCAAATGTCGATTGCTCCATTTCCTTCCAATGCCATTCTTCCCCTTTCTTTAACAGCTAATTAAGTGGACATGAGCTAAAATCAGACAAAAGAAACGGAATAATGGATCAACAGGGTGGTAATATCGCTATTAATATCGATATTTCAGGAGATGGTTTATTGTGAGCGTGGAGGAGTTGTAGGTGTATTATTCTCAGCATTAGTTATTGCAAGTGACTGCGTAACATAAATTGTCAACATAGCAAGTTCAATGTATTGGAACGAATAAATTATTAACATAGCAAGATTTGAATTTATATATTGTATAATTATTTCCAATAGATTATACTTGGTTTCCGATTAGAATTTAAATATTAAAGTAGGAACTTATTATAAGTGTAATTAAAAGCTTTTAGACTACTTGAAGAATTGAGTTGTTTACCTTATATGCACATTTCACGCTTTAAGATATTGGTATGGACGAAAAAAAGTTAATTTATTGCAAGTTGCCTTTGCTTACAATTTCTTTTATATTACTGTTAATTTTTTTGTAGCAGTTGACAATACAATAAATGCAAATATTCAAATAAAATCACCAGTCTCATTAATATATGAAACAGCAGCTAAACTTAAAAAACAGGTTATATTTTCTATGATAAAAGAAGAAGGACCACCACATGCAAGGTTATTTACAAGCCGATGTCAGGTAGATGAACTGATTGCAGAAGTAGAAGGATTTTCAAAAAAAAAAGCTAGACAAGCTGCTGCAGAGTTAATGTTAGAAAAGTTTCAAAAGCTTGGCTGGTTGGAATTGACATCTTCCAATAAAGAAAAGAAAAAGCGGAATAAAAAAAAGAATAAAATAAATAAGGTTAGTATTCTGCACTGTGTTTTATTATATCTACTAACTAAATTAAGTCCCTAACGTTTTTAACTTGTGCGATTTGTATCTGTCGTTCGTTCTTCTGTTTGTGTAGCGCATATTCGCAAAATCGTTTGGATATGCAGGTCACAGTCTCGCTCACTTTAATTGAATAATAAAAGCTTTTATTATTAAAGTCTAGGCTTTCAATAATTTAAATGTTATTTGAAATTAATAATTTTTAAATAACTAACTTTTTGAGTGTGAGTAGGATTCAAGCTCGCACGTTACGTGTGGAATTGATTACCTAGTTATCTAAAATTAGCAATAAATTTTAATTATTTAATTAGAGTGAACAGGACTATGGTAGACTTGGAATTGACTTTGTTTGTAAATTATTATAATTACAATAGGAATAATGATTCAATAAAGTGAATTTGAGTATTTTAAACAAAAGGTGGGTGTAATGTGGATTGAGGTTATTTGTAGTGCATAAAATTTAATATCTACGTCTTGTACAGGATGCTTCTGAAATAAGTAGCAAGCTTGCAGGAGGTTATAGGTCACTATAAAACATGAAAATTAAGTAAATGTTTGGTGATCCGAAAGTCTACCGTTTTCGAGAAAAATGTATTTGAAAGTACACGCAAGGGATGAACGAAGTGATTATTAAATTAATTTTTATCGTAATAGCCGTCTAAACATTGTTATGTATAACACAGTAGTAAGCTGTTAATATTTACTTTATTAATCGTTGTACAACCTGCACTGCTTACAAACTCCATCGAGTTGCTTGGTTGCTATCCCAAGTAACTGTACTAATACCTTTGTTTCCAGTTTATGCGAAGGACCGTCTTCGGATTGTAACGTCTGGTTTTTATTTTATTACAAATTTTTTAACCACGCTGCTATACTCACCAAGCGATTCCCTATTGTATCTAGTTAACACTCTTATTTTTCTTCCTAGATTCCTTCCCATTTGGTCTACATAGAATGCATCGCATTCTTTACAATTTAATTTATTAACCACAATTTACTTTAAAATGCAAGGTTTTATATTAACTAATAATATTTTTGTATGTGACATTTATTGACATCGATTGTTTTTATTTTCGACTCATTAATGTTATTACACATTTTTTCACTAAAATTTTCCTCAGTAGTCGATTAAATTATAATTGGAACATTATTTGTTAGGTTCTACATGTAACTGTTCTTTAATTGTTTTCCTTAATTTATCTACGATTGAGGGGTTGTAACCCCTACCTTTTGCGTAGGTGTGTAGTTGATTACAAACCCAAAATTCATAAAGATAAATTTCCATACCACCATTGAGTTGTTGCAGGCACGTTACTATTTTGTGGGTGGTTCGCCAATATCCCACTCATCATCATGAGGTCGTCAGTCCTAAGACTGGATGGACACGCACCTCCACTCCTTCCTATTCTTAGCTAATCTTCGCATTTTCGTAAAACCAGAACATCTCACATCCTTAATTATTTGCGAACACTAATCTAACCAGGTTTACCTCTATTCCTCTTAGCTCCTGTTTCTGCCTCTAATATGTCTCTGACTAGACCTTCATTCCTGACAAGGTGTCCTACCAACCTATCTCGCCTATTTATATCCCACTAGCAAAAATTATTTATTTACTAATCTTACTTGTACGCAAGTTTACCGCTTATCAAGGAACTTGATGTATTTCCTTTACAGTAATGGTCACAAGGTCATGCAAATTATTAGCATTGTGTACTGACGTTTGATACACTCGTCGTTCCATACAACGGCATAAAGGCACACTCACACAATACGGACTTGAATAATTGTAGTTTCTCTTTGTTAAGTAAAACCGTATTATTAATATGGTTTTTTATTATTTCTTGCAATTCGTTCATTGCTATATTGTTTAAAAATTGAATAAATTCCGTAATATTTCATTATCTTCATTGAAAAATTTGTAGGTTAGTGTAGTTGTATATATGACTATTAGGTTTTACGGGGACGAAATATTAAAGGCGGCGGGAAAAACGACTGACAGGGACATAGAGACAAAATGGAACTGCATTAAAACTTCCCTAAAGTCAGCAGCTACAGATGTACTAGGTTTTAAACAAAACGAAAGTAGAAAACCCTGGATAACAAATGAAATTTTAGGATTAATAGAAGAAAGGAGGAAATACAAAAATACGGTAGACGAAGAAAGGCAAAAAAGATAAAAGGTTATGAAGTGGTAAATAATTAGGAAGTATAGGGCAGCTTAGGAACAGTGGATTGATATGAGGTGTAAAGAAGTAGAAGAAAAGTTTGAAGTAGGTAAACCCGATGAGGCTTATAATATAATTAGAGGGTATTTTAGGCAGTATTGTAGGGTACAGTAGTAATAATATAAGAAAAAAGGCAGGGTCATTTTGATAGAAATTAAGGAAAAGGCAGATAGTGTGGAGATAGGTGAGCTAGATTATCCCATAATGAGGGAATAGTTCGACGTTTTAAGAAACTTAAAGAATAATAAGACGCTAGGTACCTATAGATGGGATACAGGGGGAAATTCTAAAATATGCATGACAAGAGGTTAGAGATCGTATGTTTAAGCTGGTTAGTTACATTTATGAGATGGGGAAAGTTCCAGAGGATTATAAACGCAACGTGGTAGTAACCACACCTAAAAAGATAGGCCCGGATAGGTGCGAGACATTCAAAATAATTACCTTAACTTGCCATGCGTCAAAAATCTTAACTAGAATTTACAGAGGATGGAAAAAAAGGACGGAAGAACTATTAGGGGAAGACCAATTTGGGTTTAGAAGAAATAGAGGAACGCGGGAGACTATTCTAACTTTATGGGTAAAAATAGAGAAAACGTTAGAAAAAGGAGAGAGTGCATACATAGGATTTGTAGATTTAGAAAAAGCACTTGACAACGTTAAATGGATCAAGATGTAAAATATATTTAAAAATGTAGGGATGAGTTACAAAGATAGAAGAGTGATACTTGTTTGTTTATAAAGAGCAACAGGCAGTTATAGAGCTAGTGCTGCAACGTAGAGAAGTAAATATTACGAAGGAAGTCGGACAGGGATACATACTGTCACCGCTACTTTTTAATCTATACGTAGAAGACGCGATCAACATCATTAAAGATAGTACTGCAGGGATAGATATACAGCAGCAAAAGATTAGTATGCATATATTTGCAGATGATATAGCAGTATTAGCATATAGCAAGAAGGAGTTAGAGATAGCTTTAAATATATTGATAAAACTACTGTATGAAAATAAATAAAAGTAAAACAAGAATACTGGCATATAAGGGAAGAAAAAATAGGTAAAGAGCGAATATAAAGATAGAAATCTAAAAATTAGAAGTGGCCGATTTCAAGTATCTAGGAAGTCAGATAAGTCCGGACGGAAGGAGTAGTAGGGATATAAAGCAGAGGATAGCGCAGGGTAGAGTCGCCTTCAATAAAAAGAAGTCACTTCTATGCTCGCGAGCGGTGAATTTAGAAATTCGGAAAAGGTTGTTAAAGGTGTATGTTTGGAGCGCGGCATTATACGGGAGCGAGCGGAAAAGAAGAAAAAAAGAAAAGAAGCGTTCGGAATAATAGGAGAACTATATGGAAGTCAATAAGAAATAGGCGAGATAGGTTGGTAGGACGCCTCAGGCATAAAGGTCTAGTCAGAGACATATTAGAAGCAGAAACGGAAGTTAGGAGGGGTAGAGGTAGACCTAGATTAGATTAGTGTTGGCAGATAGTTAAGGATATGAGTTGTTCTAGTTTTAGGGAAATGCGAACATTAGCTCAGGATAGGAGAGTGGAGGTACGGGTCCAACCAGTTTTAGGACTGACGACCTTATGATGATGATGAACCCTATTCGTTAAAAGCTTTGAATTTTTATTGGAAAAGTGGCTGCAATTGCTGCATATATTCATTTTGGCTGATATTCAATGCACTGGTACTAATTGACGGTTAATTAAAAAAAAGCGGTGTTTTCTGTAAATAAGTTAAAATTTAATTAAACAATATTTTGTTAAAAGTCGTATAAATGTAAAAATACGAAGCATGATTGATTCATTTTAACCTATATATTTTTAAGTTTAAAATACTTACATTTGGGAATCTTCTATCATTGTACTATTTTTTTGATTATCTAATAGAGTAGTAATAATGAGTACTAAGTGTTTTTATAGGAAAATGTGCACGTGAGTGAAGAAGTGCCGGATATTATTTATGAAAAAGAACCAACTTTAATAAGCGAAAGTCAAAAAATAAAAAATACAGTGATCGGAAAAAATAGAAAGAGCATGAAGGATACACTTATAGAGCTCGCTAAGAAATTAGGCATATCCGTTCAATATTGGGATATTCCTAAAAACAATCACGAAAAGTATTTGACATTTGTTTCTCTTGATATTACGCCGTCACAAGTAAGATAGTTATGATATTTAAATTTCGATTTTATTTTTTTATGTACTTGTTAGATTTGTTTCGGTATGGATTCTGTATTAGAAACATCAAGGGAAATTGCATCACTCAAGGCCTTTGAAGAACTTCAACGTCAGGGACTAGATAATATATTCACCAACAACATTCAACGAACTCGGTGAGTTGTATTAATAGACATATCTTTGATTACTACTGTTTATTCCTTTTGTACCATTACAACTTCAGTATTTTTAAAATTTAAAAGGAAATTGTTTTGTACTTTTATCAACAGATCACATATTCAACCCCGCATCTATATATATATATATGAGTAATTTGTAGTGATTGAATTAATGTTTTAAAGTCTGTACTTCTCAAAAATGGGATGATTTGTTGACATGAAAAGCTAGTAATCACATTTCAGCCGATCTCGGGTTATAATTTGCATCATATTTTGTAGCTAATTTGTAGTGAATTAATATTATAGAACCTATTGATCCCGGAAAATCTGATGATCTGCTGGCATGATATGCTAGCAGATAGATAACATTATTCGTAATGAAGTTATTTTAAATAGATAATAGGCATGACAGTGATAGGCATGTTACCATAATCGAATAAAATAATTCGAAGTGGTGGTCTGTATTCTGTCTGTCGTTGAGATGAGCTACGCCGAGATTCGTTTCAGCAAGTAGATATCCATATATTTAAATGGACCTTGTTGGAGCATACGTAATTCTAAAATGTAGCATCGTACTACAGATGGCGTTCGCCACGCCATTTGTGGTATTTTATAAAACGTGCTGTTAAGACAGCAGGTAAAAGTTGGTCTGTCTTCTGTCGGAGCTGTCTGCGATGCGCTGATGAGATCCAAACAGAAATCGCGATCCGCGTCTGGCAGTTTCGACAGAATACAGACCACCAGTTCGAATTATTTTATTCGATATATTTTTTTATTCAAACATGATTAAAGTGTGTTTTGTAAATTAAGGAAGAAACAATCCAATTGAAAACTTGAATTTAGTTAGGTCCAGACCTATCGTTTCAGTCATTTATATTACATACAAGAAATCTCTAGCATTAAAGGTTCCTATAAACCGTTGTAAAATTACAAAAGGTAATTTACTATTTTTCTGAGCTAAGTATACGTATGAACTTCCGGTTGTTTCGTAGTTAAAAACACGGTTACAATGGGTTTACTCACGTTACACGTATATCAGTTACAAAAGTTTTAAAGGGTATAGTATAGCCGGGTTTGTATGAGATTATCAAAAAAAAACTTCGATTTGATTTATTTTTTTCAAAAAGTAAAATTTAATATTAATGAACGGTGATTTTTTTTCCAATTCGTAGGAGTAAAAGGGATGAAAAGCAGTTGTGAATATCAGGTGGAAAGCCGATTTTAAGAACAGAAATAAAACTACAATAATTTTTTTTGGCTGTTATTTAAATGTGCCTGCTGCCAAACTTTGATAGAAAACGTTTTCTATACTCCTTTACATTCAGGAATTTTTTCATTTTTTTTGAATTGGTGAAACATTATGAAGAAAAATAAAAATTAATGTTTTTTTAAGCTGGTTGGGTTTTTTCAGCTAAAATATTATTTTTTAATACACATTTCTCTAGCAGTATAAGAGTTTTAATGTGTTAAAAGCATTAAAAAAAAAAATAGTTTTTATAATAATGTTTCACCACTTCAAAAATAAAGAGAAAATTTCTAAGTGTAAAAGAGTATAGAAGACATTTTCTGACAATGTTTAGCGGTAAACACATTTAAATAACACGGTAAAAGAATGATTATGGTTCTATTTACGTTCTTAATAATCGGCTTTTCACCTGAGATTCATAATGAAACTGTTTGTTCATCCCTTTTACTCCTAAGAATTGGAAAAAATCAACATTCATTAATTTTGAATTTTACAATAATAAATAAAATCCAAGCTTTTCGAGAATTTCGAAAATCCTTTGAGATAAAGAACTAAAAATTCAGCTGAGTTATTTTTATTTAATGTCAAATCAGTCTTCCAAGTGCAAATCAAAAAAGCTGCGGGAGCAGATTTCCCATACAAACACGACTCTTTATTAATTCCGACATGGTATGGATCAAAGTCAAAGTAGTGGTGCTTACCCCTGATTTAATTGATCGCCGGATCCCCATTGCAGCATCTGGGACACTCGCATCAGAGATAAACGGAAACTGAGTCCTTGTAGCAGACAGATTTGTTCGACTATTTACAGGGTGTTTGTTGGTGTGCTTCGACCTAGTTCATTCATTCCGTGGTGTATTCAGTGCTTACAGAAAATTAATTAAGAAAATTTAATTAATAACTGCGATAAAAAAGTATTTTGTATAAATTTATCTTAAGCATGCAAATGTTGGTCTATATTTTGCAAATATNTATATATGTAGCTCTTTGAATCGGCAAATTTATTTTTGTTTTCACAAAATTCATTTTATAGCTTATATTTCTATTTAATACTCTCTGATTGAGCATTATATTGTCTTTTACTTTATTTTAGATAGTTTGAAAGTAACTATAGTCGTTTACACCGCCTGAAAAAGAAATAGTTTATAGTGCGCCATTATTGAGAGAGATATAATATTAACGTGTAATAAAAGATTGTGTTTCATTTATCTTTAACTATGGCTTCTGTAAAAACAATTAAAATCTATTTTTTTGCAGTTGCGGACAATATACAATAGTTAAGCAAAGATTGAATATAACAGATTTTGTAAAAAATGCTTACTTCAAAATGAAGTTGTCACCAAGATAAACACTGGGTTACGATAGAATATGTCGGAGTGAAAAATGTCATCAATACTAGTTTGAAAAAAGAAAGTATTGCTTCCACCACTTTACATTAAACTTTGTTTGATCAAACAGTTTGTAAAGGCATTTCAACTTGACCAACGGTGATTATTTCATGTTTAGATATCGAGGTTATGATTTAAATAGGTTTTAAGGATATAAAAAAATCGTAAGGACACAAAAAATTACTTTTTAAGAAAAAAGTCAATTCAAAAATCAGGTTTTTTTTTTATTTTCGATTTTTCCATGCTTTAATATTGTCGGAGGTATTAGGTAACACCATCGAAAAGAGCATCGTTAAAAACATAGAAACACTGGTTATCGAATATTTTTTCGTCGCACTCATTACGTGGCAAGGGTTCAAATGGAAATGTGTTCTCTGAGCATTTACGGGTTAATGTGACGTGGTATAAACCATATGAATATCGTTTTCTATTACTTTTAAGACAATTACGACAAATATTAACAATTTAGGAAAAAAACTTTTCAAAAGAAAATTTCGCAGACCTGTGTTATTGTATAATTCACATTTTTGGTCAAATGCAAACCCCCCACCCTATTACCGCATTTTTAAAATCAATATATATTTTCTTTACATGTATTGTAGTATATCCAATTACAATTGTTTCTTAATGAGCATTAGCAAAAAACTGGAATGATACTAGAATGTTGTATATAAATGAAGACTTACGTATTGATGACAGACGACCACCAATCGAAATTGAAACGGACTATAAGATAATTAGCATTGGTGATATTGCATATTGAATGAACTGATATAGAGTAGAAAACATAAATAAAGATACAAGAAATAAAAGTCGAAGTTATATTTGTGTTTTTAAATTAATTTTTTCGCTACACATGGACTACAAAATATAATGTCAATCAGTCCACGATCAACTGAAACGAATATGTGATCTGTTTAGTGTTGGTCAATGTCGTGGTTTTTCAATCACAGTATGATTCGTTATTGTGACCTTTTTATTAGATTAGTTATCTTAAACTGTAACGTGATCACTGTTTTCTATTGCAAATGTTCCCGTTTTTTTGTTCTTATACTCGCAAAAGTGAATAAATCATAGGTCGTAAAATATCTAGATCTGTTAGCATGATATCAAAAAACCAGCTGCAGTTCTTCCGATTTTCCGGCATAAACAGGCTCAACAGAATTAACTCTTTCGTTAGTTACAAAATATGATATTAATTACGATTCTAGGATCTTCTGATATGAGTATATGTGATTTGCTAGCAGCAGATTATCCGATTTCTCCAGATCTGTTATATGCTTCACAAAATCAATTCTTTCACCAAAAATTTAGTACTGAGTAGTTATAAATCGTTCATATGTTTATATGTGGAAGTTGGTTATGTGATCTGCTAGCGTATTACACGTCTTTTATTATTTAATTTATGTTATTATTTTCCATTTCAAAAATAATTCTTCTTTACAGAAAACCAGATTACGTGCAATCTATGGTTGGGGATAATAAGCAGTCTGATTATTCATATGAGACAAAACTGTATTAAATACATAATGTTTAATAATAATTTAAATTATAAAAATGAAATGTTTCATAAAAAGTAAAACTAACAAGTATCATTAATTTTTGAAAAAAAAAAATAACCCGATCATTCACATTAGATGGTAATGCCACCTTTTAGACATAGTGGGATTGCCACTGTCTTTCCTTTATTTAGAATGAACATCACCCATTTTGTAATGACTTATTTACCTTTTGTTTCGAACGGTACTGTCGTTTGTTCTTTTTATTTTATTTTTGTTTGTGTCAAGTAATATGGACATTGAAGCCTCCTTATCTGAAGCATGTTGGGTAAGGTCATATAATAATATGTTCACCTTGAAACAATGTTTATAAACATCAGATCGTTCAATAAACAACTTCGTAGATTTTGTTACAATGCCCAGATCTATGCAACTAAACATTCGTTACTTCATATCGAACCCAATGAGTTCCAATAATTAATTTGTTTGATTTAGTTTGTGTTACATTACTCTTAAACATATCAAAATCAAGCATAATATTCATTGTAACATAGATCTCAGTGCAACAAAATTAACAAAAAAAATGTTGGTTAAATTTTTCTTTTATGCTTTTTTCGGTGAAGAGGGCAGCGCCTCAGTTGTTCGTGAGCAGCCACCGTTAGCCGTTGTCCCTTCTTTTGCAGAACGTATCTTTCATTTGGAAGTACAGGCAGTCCTCGTACTTACGGCATGTTAGGTTCTCGAAATACGCGACTTAAATCGAAACGAAGTCGAGACATATTTTAAAAAAAAAAAACTGCATTTATAACAAACGATATACGTACATACTTTATTATCAAAAGCAAGTTCTTAAAATAATTATATATGTACTTATGAAATTGCTAGTTATTTTTGGTAAAACTGATGATAAAACTTTAATAATCAGAATTTGTAATGAGAAATAATAAATTAAACTTTTGGCTTAAAGAAACTATCAATTCTAGATTGCTTCGCTTCTTTCTTGTTATCATACAGGTCTTGGTAACACTGATAGACTGCACAAATTTTGTTATTAACATTAAAACTTCTCTCAAAATTAGGATCATTTTCTTCCAAAATTTTCATGGCATTCCCCAAATTTGCAAAGGCTACGGAAGGTTTTTTTAGTGTAAGTTCTTTTTCAGAGTTATTAATAGAAGAAGCTATTTCTTGTGACTCGATTGCTTCCTCTTGTACTTGTGCCTCCAATTCAGTAAGATCTTCATCAGTCAGTTCTTGCGAATGTGAGCATAACAGATCATCAATATCATCAGCAGTAACTGCAATGTCAGGCAAACAGCCAAATGAACAATGTCAGTTATGATCTCATCGGTATTTCGTTGATCTGTAGATGAAGAACTTTCAGATGGCTTAAAAAAATGTGGGCATAACTTTTTATAAAGTCTTTTTAAATTGTTGGGTGTCACCTCATCCCATGAAGCAGCAATATTTTTTACGCATTGCAAGATATTATAACTTTTCCAAAAATCTCTCAACTCTATGCCATCTTTTTCATTAGCCTTTACAGCCTATGAAAAAGTTCTCCTGAGATAATAGGCCTTAAAAGATGCTATAACTCCTTGATCCATCGGCTGTAACAACGAAGTGGTGTTTGGAGGCAACTTTGATTTGAGGATCGATATCGGCAATACGCACAGGATGGTCGGGAGCATTGTCCAAACTGGGTAAAGCTTTATAAGCCAAATTATAGTTTAAACAGTACTGTTTCACTTCAGGTATAAAATGCCTAGTAAACCATTCTTGAAAAAGTATTGATGTTACCCATGTCTTTGGATCAGCCTTCCATATAACTGGAAGAGTACTCTTGACGTAATTTTTAAGAGCTCGAGGATTTTCAGATCTATAAACCAAAAGGGGTTTCAAGTTAAGATCACCTTCAACATAATACCTGTTGATTATAATACCCAATAACAACGTCAAACAATCTTTAGCCGCTTTAAACCCAGGCATAGACTTTTCTTCCTGCGATATAAAAGTACGAGAAAGCATTTTTTTCCAAAATAAACCAGTTTCGTCTACGTTAAAAATTTGTTTTATCGAATAGTCTCCACTTTCGATAATTTCCTTTAATATTCCAGGAAAACTGAGCAGCCACATGGTCGGCACTAGCAGCTTCTCCTTGCACTCGAATGTTATGTAACGAATATCTCGTTTTAAAGCCCATGAACCATCCGCGACTGGCAGAAAATGGTTTTGTTTCTTCACTATTATTCTCGCCACATTTGTTTTGCAGTGTGTTGATGATACTCAGCGCCTTATTTTGAATAATGGCTAAACTGTGAGGAACCCTTCGCTGAGTTTGATTTTGAGTCCAAGTGTAAATAAATTAAAGCATTCCTTTTTCAGCAGCATGTGCGGGGTAATCCCCGCTCGCTGACACCGCACCCCGCCGGCCTCACGGACATTGACCTCTCGACAAGTGAATTCTATGCCGGAAATCGAAACAATTGACGTATGCTTGAGGAATAGTGTCAAAACATTGTTCGACGTAACTTAAAACGACGTAAGTCGAGGACTGCCTGTATACTATGGTCCTTTACATTTAGCATTGAATTTGTCTCCGCCAGCAAGCTGCGAGCCTAGACTAGAAAATAGATGTATAACTCGCGAAATTTTGACGATGCTAGTGACATCTAAGTTTACCCTACATTAGTAGACGATAGTTGGTATATATATATAAATGGGACTGGCAAAGAAAACTTCGAATTTCGCTGCCATCTATACATATAACTATGAAACGTAACTTAAGGCGCGCATTTCAAAATTACACTAAATTTTATTTTTTTTGTGTTAATTGGAAATTGAAAAAACAAACAAAAATAATATTAACAAATTTAATAACAAAGTGTGAATGCAGTAATAAATACAATTAGTACAATATACGAGTTAATATCAAAACATCAATTAATTAAAATAATAGATACTAAGACAGGTATATTTGTATGAACAAAGAAATTGTTCTTTACCTAATTTAGTACTGCTTTCTGCTTCTACAGGGGGTGCTAACGTTTCAGAAACTGCAAAAATACTAGCTTCTGTATTGTCCATTGTGAGGGTACTTTCTATAACAAATTATTATGTATGTTTTGTATATTTGAAACTGTTATCTGCATAACTACCTGCAGTTGAAACAATTCTTCTTTTTCCCCCCATATGTTTTCAGTGGATGCAGTACTTTTTCATCTTTTAATGGAAACAATTCCGTCTGCCTCCATTCCTCTACCTGAAAAAGTTCTACAAAACATTTTTTTTTAGACAACAACAACAAATTACATTACCTGCCACTTTCGTTGGAACCGCTGTTACTTCAGGAAAATGGAAAGCGGCATCTTGACCTTTAACTCCTACAGGAACTGTATAATCTAGGTAGAACTTTTCAAATTAATTTGACCCCATAATGGTGTAGACTGTACAGCACGGTTTTTCTGTGTTGCACAGAAAACACTCTTTCCTTTCTAACCAGCACCGTTTCAGAAAATAATTACTTATTGTAAAGCATGATTGAAGTACTTAATACATCACTTACTTTCAGGATATGTAAAAGTACTTTTAAAAAATTTAAAATATTACAAGTTGTGAAACTACTCCCTATTGCTCAGTATACGCTATAACTAGTGGGGAATTCCGCCGGTAATTGCAACCGCCGTCACATCATCCGTTGTCGTTTCACTAAAACGTATGTCGNACTTTCAGGATATGTAAAAGTACTTTTAAAAAATTTAAAATATTACAAGTTGTGAAACTACTCCCTATTGCTCAGTATACGCTATAACTAGTGGGGAATTCCGCCGGTAATTGCAACCGCCGTCACATCATCCGTTGTCGTTTCACTAAAACGTATGTCGGTAATGCCGATTTTGGTAATTTAAAAAATTTAAAAACTTTCGTGGGGTAAACTTATTATAAACTTAGGTGTCGCTGACGCTCGACATTTCATACCCTGGTTGCGAGTCTTCCACAGCGAATCTGTCACCTATCGAAAACATATTCGCACAGTAGCGACTGATGTTAAATTTTTGATCTTGCCTAAAGGAGCTGTTTTTCATTCTATCTCGAACTTCAACAATGACTTTGTCTGGATCGACAAAATTATCAGTCCTTGTAGCGTTTTCTGCTGTGTTGCTCTTAACAAATTGAAAACTGTTCTTATCACGCGCTCTACTTGGCCATTTCCACGCGGTACACCTGTTGCGATAGGGTGGAGTTTAATATTTTGGTCATTTAAAAACATTCGAAACGTTGTAGAGGTAAAGGCAGCCGCTCGATCGGCTATAATTCGTCTCGGCCTGCCCAATTCCTCAAAAAGCGGCACTATTGCACGAATTGAAGTTGGTATTGGTTGTAGCCGGAAAAATTTCGAATTTGTGTGCATCCATTCGTTTTTACTAAAGGTCCAGCGTAATCAATGTGTCACGTGTCCAATATGTCAGTTGGTTATTCACCCCGGTCGATAACCGGTATGAGATTTCCCTAAAACACAAGCCCTACAGCTCTTTATGTATTTTTTTAAACTGTTCCAACTTTAGCCAAAATAAGTCTTCTCACATTTTTTTGATTCATTTATTCCGATGATTTATCGTGGTATCATCGCATTGTTAACAAACAGCAATAGGTACGAAGCATTTCGGCGGATTTGTTTTGTCACAGTAACATTGTTTACAACGGTAAAATTCGGATCACTTATCTGGTTTGTTTAATATTTCGAGGCAGAATGCGTCATTGTTTTGGAACTCCCATAATAACGTTCCGGCATCTGTTAACTTG